CTGAACCTGGCCAAATGTTATATCTGAAAATAGTTGGATTCCTGTGAAGATAGATGTACTTAATTGTGTTCATAGGTTTGCAAGTCATTTGCTTATTTTTGACTGTTATCTTCAAATCTAGGTCTCTCACAAGCCCAAATCACTCACTCATGCTCAAGCTGCCTCTCTGCCATATGTGGCCCTCACAGCCTGGTCTGCCATAAACAAGATTGGTGGCCTGAATGATAAGAATTGCACAGGAAAACGGTGAGTATCAGTGGTGGCATCTAAAACTCCCTTCTTTCCTTTGGTGACGTCTTTGCATTAGATTTGTCAGAAGCATGAAAACTAGGCTCAGTTACATGAGCAGAGTTGTGCTAACAGTTAAAACAATTTCCAAAGAACTCTTGTGCCAGTTTGTACTTTTTAAATCTCATTCTGTTGATTCTTAGCTCAGTCAGTTGAGAATTTTAAAAATATGTAGATGGATGTTAGGAGTCTGAACCTTCTAAAATGATGCAAAATTTTTGTATGTCAGCCTCTGGGAAGAAGATCCATAGCTTTCATCAGATTCCTAAAAAGGTTAAGAATGACTTCCTTACAGATGTTAAAGAATGATGGAGTTGCTCTCACACTTGAAGGTTTCTATGAAAAACAGATATAAAGGGTTTGAATATTGGTGAGTTCTCTTAGGCTCTGTGCTCTCTCAGGCTCCTTTAGGCAGTTCTGGTGCTTCCAGGACTTGCAGGTGTGCTTGCTGAGTTTGCAAAAACACAGTGGGTGTTAGATGTTCTTGAGTTCATATTCAGATTCTGCTGCTTTCTAGCTGGGTGGCCCACTTGGACACTTCTCTTTTGTGAGTTGTGTTTTAGGGGTGAAATGAGATAACACATATAACATCAGTGGCACAGGTTGTGGCACACAGAAGGCACTCAGTACATGGTGGCTGCTGTTCTTAGCAGTGCAACTACTGTGTTCTTTGTGTTTCAGAAAGTTGGCATCGTAGAGAAAATGGATGATTTTATTATTTGGTGAGCAAACTAGGTCCTCAGAACCATTCAGTGATTGTGATGAAGGAGAGAGCTGTAGGTCAAATTTTGTTTTCTGATTGCTAAAGATTGTGCCGGAAAAATAACAAGTCTGTGTCAATCTATACTCCTGTTGTTATGAAACATTGCACTTTACCTTTAATGTGTTGGATTATAGACATTGAATTTAGTGAACGCTTAATAGCTATATTTCTGAAAGCAGCATAAAGGCTATTCATCTAATGAGGTGCTACCCTTCATCATAGAATTCAAGGTAAATATTCTAAAGGTCAACGCTGTTTACTTTTTAAGCTTTTGGGCCTTATCATTCTTGAAGTTGCCATTTTGGTCCAACACTTTGTTTAAATTAAATCAGTTTGATCGTGTAGATTTTTCTAATGGTTTGTCTTAGTTAATAACCTTGCAAAAATCATGTTCAGGATTTTTAGACGTTTATTATTATTGTAGGCTCTGCAGTGACATTGATGCTTTGTTTTGTTTTTCCTTAAAAGCATTCAGCTTTCTGTGCCCCCATGACCACTCCAGATAGAGAGCTCTCATTCCTTTTGCTGGTTCAGGCCCTCCAGGTGTACATTTTTTAGTATTCTGTAGAAAATGAGTTAGAAACTGATCTAACTATCTCGTCTTCCCAGTTTATCATTGGCTTTGTAGGTACTCTGTTATCTTCTGTTTAAGCAGTAATGGCTTGGAGCTGGGGGAGTAGAGACCTGAGTTCCCCTCTCTACACTGCTACTAACTAATCAGCTGACCACATGCATGCTTTTTATGGTCTCTGCTGTTTCCACCAAGGTACTGAGTGTAGGACAATGTTAGGCGAGCTTTGAGAAGTGGAAAGTTTTATACTTATAAAAGTGATTTATATGTTATATTGAGTTGGGTCAGTTCATTGATTTAGCCACATGTTAACCACACTGGAATGAAATCCACTGTAAAGAGCCTCACTGGCTCACATCATGGACTTGTGTCACATTCCCTCATGTATGGTGACTCAGAGGATGCCTTTGTTCCGAGTGGCGGTGAGAGCTTGTCCCTTGGTGCTCTAGGAAATTTGTTTACTGAAATTATTACACATGGGTAGTAATAATGGCCTTCCTCTCCAACTCCTTATTTTTATTTTTATTTTTAGAAATTGTAATAATTAATTAATTTTTTTTGGCTGCGTTGGGTCTTCGTTGCTGCGCGCAGGCTTTCTCTAGTTGCAGCGAGCAGGGGGTACTCTTCGTTGCGGTGCACGGGCTTCTTGTTGCGGTGGCTTCTGTTGTTGTGGAGCACAGGCTCTAGGCGCGTGGGCTCAGTAGTTGTGGCTCACGGGCTTTAGAGCGCAGGCTCGGTAGTTGTGGCACACGGGCTTAGTTGCTCCGTGGCATGTGGGATCTTCCCGGACCAGGGCTCGAACCCGTGTCCCCTGCATTGGCAGGCGGATTCCTAACCACTGTACCACCAGGGAAGTCCCTCTAACTCCTTATTTGTGAGAATCACATGAGAGATGTGAGCACCTTAAAATACTGTAAAAATAATTTTACATGAAGGGATTTTACTAACTTAAATGCAGAGGTTCTGGTGTCCAAAGTGGCTTTTTTCAGTTTGACTATGCTTTGTGATTGGTGGAGCATATTTTGGCTTCTCTAAGCAATAATTATTCTTTTACTGTTAGCTCTCAGCATTAAGGCAGTCTTTAGTCTGCACAAAGCAAATCAGTGTTTGTCATCAAGGACCAACAGTGTTTTTCTAGCCAGTTAATTAAAAAAACCTAAAACTAACAATGACAAAAACACCCACCTTGAAAGATTTTACAGGATTTCTTTGTAACAAACAGCTTTTTGAAATTAAGACAAAGCTTTCTAAGGCCTCCATGGTGTTTTGCTTTTCCTTCTTTGTTCTATAATTATATTTCTGTAACAACTGAGCATCAGTTAACCAAGGGGATAATTTAATATTGACATCATGTGTCTTTTTCGCCCATGCTTTGGTATCACTAGCAAAGTCAAACGAAATGATTTCCCTGTTATCAGCCCATCCATAGTTTCTTCGTGATTTATTCCGTAGGAACACATAGATAACTTAGGGTTCTCAAGATGAATAGAACTTTTTAAAAAAGTGGTTACACCAGATGTTTTTGGAAAAGGGTTCTGTTTGATGGTTATATTTATTGGTAGTGTCATGCTCTGCCCGAAATTCTTCATCTCTTGCTGCGAAGTTGTACTTGGCTGTTTGACAGAAGGTATTAGAAAGTGTTAGAAATTGAACCATTCCTCCCCGGCAAAATAAATTTCACTTTTAAATTGTGTATACTTGAAACTCAATGAAGTGGATTTAGGAATGCTTTTCCCTTTTTCTTTTTTGAGATTAGGCTTTATGACAGTAACACTTTGTCATGTAATTGTAAATTAGGTGTCTGATTAATTCTGTTTATAGAATTAGACAGGCTCAAACATAAAACATTGTATCCCCACCCACCCCATATGCTTATACCGGTAATTACAACAGCTTCCTTCTTTCAGCTGCCTTCGCCTGCTTGTCCTTCCCCCACCCAACCCACCTGTTCCTCTGCCCTGTCCACTCCCACCACCCCTGGGGACTTTGGGTTTTCATTTGCACTTTGACTAGGTTGTACGGGGAGAGGGGAAAGGGGAAAGGGGAAAGAGAAAGAAACCCCTGTGGTCTACTTGCTTGGAGAAATCCTGGGGTTGGGAGGAAGGGTGCTGGCTCTGGCCTGGCTGGTGTGCTGCCGATGAATTGTCTCCACCCCAGGCCTGTTTTCCAGGGAGCTCCGGGAGGGCTCTGTTAAAGGAATTAGTAGCAAACTCTTTCCTGGCCATTTGTGTTTTACAGATAGTTGCCCCTGTCACCTAGAAAACTATCTTGTGACGTTTAGGAGTCGTTCACTCTTCAGTGCACCGTAACCTCACTTCCGGCTTTGCCAATCAGGTGCAGGTGTTCTCACCGGGGTCATAGCTGACCGAGTTGCCAGCCCAACGATACTTTTCAGTTCTTACAATTTGACCTCTGAAGTCTCTGGCGCTCTTGCCCACTTTTGTTATGCTCACTTTTTCCATGGTTTCAGGGACACTAAACTCCTTTAGTTTTCTTCTTGCCTTTTGAACCAATTCTTATCATTTTTAAAGGTTCCCTTTCCTCCCCCAGCCCTTGCACTGTACCTGCTTTCCCGTTGTCTCCCTCCGTCTTTCCTGTCTCCCAGGGTTATCTCATCTGCTCCCAGTTTCTTTATATATATATATATATATATATATA